GTTACGTCTCCATAAATTAGCACAGCTAACCGCCAGTACAAAGTTTAGTCTTTATTTCATACCAACGGTAAAAAGTCCTTGCGGGATAGTAAACTTATATACTCCAATAGTCCGATATCTCCAACAGTTAACTCCAGAACGATTAAATTACAGTAAATGTAAACTCCAAACTATTAATTGAACTCCAAACGATTGATTGCAAATATATGACTCAAATTCTGCGTCCGAGTGTTTATATAGGTCTGGTAGACTGGGTAAGAGCCCATAAAACTATACTAAATGACGTATCATCACACTCTCGTCCAAGGACATCATAAGGTCCTTGCTATACACTAATCGTCTATTAATAATGTCATGATAAACTGATTATTTATTAGCATGCATAATAAATACCAGGTCCTTGATAGGTCGCACGTAATGCTTCTTCTGTAGTCGCGTGACAGCCTCGTACCCAGGCGCTAAAAATGGGCACACTACAGTGTTTTTATATAGATCAGTGGCTCGAGCGCGCGGGGGTGCTTGGGGAGGTTGCAGGAAACGAAGCGCCTGGCAGAATTTGTAACAAACATGGCGGACATGAGGATGCAAATGAGGAAATTGCTGTACTATACTCAATGAAATTGAAAGGCCTGCCCATCGAGCGTGACATTTGGGAAAGATTTTATGTCCAAATGATCACTGCGTTGATAATAATTATTTTTCCTCGAAAACGGTATTATATATTTATCATTTTAGTTGGCGAGTTTCCTCAGGACCTCTCGAAATTTTATAATAGAAAGTCTCCTGGTCATGGTTTATTTCAAATGGTTGAAAATATATGTCTGGTATTGGATGCACATCATGAAATGTACTGCCTTTTTGCAGTTTGAAAGAAAAGTATTCTGACAACAAAGCCAAAGTCAAAGAAACTGGCCAAGTTTATAACTTTATATTCTTGATATTTTAATATTAAATACATTGAATTTTATAAATATGGAATGTTGAAACTACTATTTATTTGTACTGATGATACATTTTACCTCAGAGGAGAAAATTAACTGGAAAATATTTAATGATTGTAGGTTTCTAAAATTTTGCCAATAGAAGGAATATAAATTAACATGCATGAGTGCTTTATAGTATGCAAAATATGGTGAAGATAAAAACATAAATTTTAGAGCTCTATTGTTGTAAGTGGCTGACAATATTAAATTATATAAACCACAAACCAGACCAAACTAATCTCATCTCATGTATGGTTCACCTGTTGATGTTTGTGATTCACCTTACTTTTGAGTTTTGAACTATGAAGGCTATTGCCCTTGATTGCCAAAATATACTATGTTTACACTAAGGAATGGGGTATACTCTGGATTTACCTCTGGCTGCATACAATACATTTGATACCAGTTACAGACATAGTCTAACAAATTGGACAATTTAAAGGCATGGTTGCACATTGCAATTTGTTGGGCTGATTACAGTACAGATAGTATTGATATTTAAAAATCAATGACATTTGAAAAATATGTGGCAAACATTTGATGGTCTCACTGAAAATATTTGTCAACAGTTAGCAAAATCTAAAATCAGCCCGGCAAAGTATGGTGTATAAACACACAAAAATACACCCATACATGTACCATACATATACACACATGATTTACCATGTTGCCATGGAAATTGGTCTTGGGATTAAACAATCCAAACAAGTTTATACACACAAATGCTTTACCTGAAATCTTTCTCAGGTCACTCAAGGTAAGTCCCAGTAAACAGCTTGGACAGGTGTAGGTTTGTAGTGTAAACACAAGACCTATCCCAGTTGTCTCTGTGCTTGCTCCTAAATCCTCATGAATGTTTTACACAACTTGACTAAATGAGATATACCTCATCAACATACTATGCAAACAACTCCCTGGAACATTTAACTTAAAATGTTGAGAATTTTATTTATTTTGCTCATAATATAAACTACTAGTATTTACATTAAAAAAGATCTAGAGCTATGGCTGTATGGCAATATTTATGCATTTAATACTCTTGTGGGCCTTTATTTATACACTCATCCACATCTTAACATCTAAACAAACTAGGCAGATTAAACTTTGCAAATTAACAACTTTGCCCATTAAGTTTCACTGCCCCCTACTAGGGCTATGGTGGTGTGCTGATTGCACCACCGAGTTTCGTGGTGCAATTGTCAGTTCAAGACCACTTGATAAACTGCTAGATTTTTCAATCTCGCCATAGTTTTCCATCTCATAATCTGCTTCAGTGGCAATGTGGACATCACTATCTAACAACATAATAAATTAACAACATTTCTATTACTCATTAATTCGAATTCATAAATTTACTATATTATAATGCTTCAGATCACCAAAAATGTGATGCATGATGCATTCAAATGTCTGCTGACTTAGGAACTTAAACTACATAAGTAGACAATACCTTCTTCAAAATCAAGTTGGGAAAAGGATGCATTAAATATATCATCAGAACTTACTGATGCTATCAAAAGAAGATTTAATAGGTGTTTTAAAAACGCATACAGGTGATACAGCAAATATTTTGTTGTGGCAATTTGCTGCTATTGCAATTTATATAAAACAAGACGCCTGCTCAGGCGTTCACACTGGCCTGAAAATAACGAGATACGTGCTATGGTGCAAAAGGCAGGAATACAAATCTTAAACCGCAAGCAAATTTTATGGACTTTTTAAAAAATAAAAGACCTTTTCGAGTGACGTAATGGAGATCGATGCACGTGCAAATCATGCCGATCTACAGAATCGATTTCCGGTTTTTCCTAACAGCGCGTTGTTTTCATGTGCGTTCCATGGGCCGCGCTAAAAATATAAATATTCTGTAAATACCGAAATAAAAGATGAGAATCTCAAGACACAAGCTTGAAAATAACACTATAAATAATGTTTTCGATTCTGGTTCCAATAACATTATCACGAAAAAGATATGTCCAAAGTTATGTTCGGCAAAATGTATGGCTAGTTTACATTGTTTGTTGTATTATGAAATATGATACCATACTTGTATTAAAATTCGCGTCGAACTAATGTTATTGTAAATGTAGAGTAGACTTGCCACAAGTCGACCTCGAACGAAATGCGTTTCTTCGAGGTCGACTTGTGGCAAGTCTAGCAAATGAGAACCATACAAATGATACAATAATGGTTCTAGTTCTTGTTGGTATTTGAACGCACGCTTTATCTTTCAGTATAGCTACCACAAAGCTTTTCGTGCGGATTATATTTCGTGGAGTACTAAATATTATATTTTGTGGTTTTCGAGTCATTACACAAAGAAAAACACATTAATTCAACACGCAAGAAAGTCCAGAGTACGACACAACGTAAAATACATAGGAAACCGGCACGATTCTTTGAAAATTCAACGAAACTGTGTAAAATATAGTTTGATCACTCTGTGAAAAGCCGCCATTGCAGTTCGGAATTGTGCGCGTGCGTACAAGTGTATAGGCTAATAAACGAAAAATGTACCACAAGCATGGCATGAGTCGGCTAGTACGTACATAAATACGTAACTTGTTCCTATTGTATTTGAATCATGGAACGGAGGGAATCGATGGCATTTTGGCTTAATCGTTGCACCTTGAGCCTGCGATGCGCTAACGCAAACTCGATTTCTCGACTACGAAAAAAACAGAAAAAGAGGGATTTAAGACACTTGGCCTACAGGCCAGTGTAATTAGCTTTGACATTGTTGTTATTGCATGAACCAAAGTCCAAAGAGACAAATATAACAGCATTCAACACTGAACAGATTTATATAACAATATATATCGCTATTTACATCATATAAAATAATGTAAATAATATTTAACTAAAATCCTTTCGTTTATAATATCAATTCTATTATAACACAGGTATATCATATTAAAAATGACTCATATAACAGACTTAGTCTGTCAGTCAGTATATTAATTCAAATAAAGGTTAAAAAGCGCCTATTAAGTATGTTTAAAGAAAAAGATTACCTTCATGTGGCTGTCTTTACTCCGTCTGGTCCATATTGTCACGGAAATTGGGCACAAAATGCACAAAAACGCTTAAAAACTACATTTCTAAACTAAATTTGAGAAATCGACAATATCTTGTGACTTATCGAACAAATTCTCCCAGGCGCCTCCGGTTCCAGTTGCGTCCTCCCCAAGCACCCCCGCGCGCTTGCTCATCTTAGCCACTGATCTATATAAAAGTACTGTAGTGTGCCTATTTTTAGTTAATTGCGCCTGGGTACGAGGCTGTGTTTGTATTACGTGCGGAAATTGTTACCATTTTTGAGCCGAAAAGCTCAGATAAGCTTTACAACATTTCGCAACCAAATTTTGCAATTTTACTAATTTTCCCCGAGCCGACGGCGCGAAGCGCCGTGCGAGGGTACTAATTCCCCCCGGCTATTTACACCAGGGGAAACGAAAGCATTAGCGAAGTCTAAAGTTCATCAATGAGCGCGGGCGTCGGTCACCAACGATGGGTGGTCATCCTCACTGATCTCAAAAACATGGCGGACTGTCATGAATAACGGACACTGATTGGTCCAATTTAAAGTTTGCATTATAACGACTGCATGACGACAGCGAAATAGCAAACATTTCTTGATTTGACGATTGATAAATTTCTTGCAAATATATTTCATTTTTGCTCGTATTTCTGCAAGATTTTATAAATTTCAAGAAAGAAAAGGCGAAAGAACCGGCTAAAAGAAGGGAGCCGACGTTAACGAAGGTAAGTTTGTTTTAAATATTGATTTTATAATGGCTTTAAAACCCGACGGCTTTTGCGTATATGAAACAACTAAGGGACCGTTCATTATTTATACCCAGGGTTGGTACCGAAGAGAAGCGAAAAACAGTGTAAATTTTTTATTTACCCAACCTCAACATTGGTCAAAATAATGTTTACCCAACCCATGTGTTACTGCACTTCATAATAATTAAACACACGAGATTATGGTGACAGAAATCAAGTTGCCTAAATTCTAAAAGCTCACTCAGACTCACACTCACTGAGTGTGCCAAAGCAATCACGTTCCTGCTGATCAATGATAGAGTCCTTCCTCTGTCACAGATGGTCTATTTTGGTACAGAATGTTAATTGTACATTTTTCTTCAGATTTTCCAATGCATGGTAATTTTATTTGATTTTATAGCTGACAGACAGCCATAATTTTTTCTACCCAACCCATGAGCTAGTCAAAAACTTGATTACCCAACCCATATCTCTTCGGTACCAACCCCTGGTATAAATAATGAACGGTCCCTAAACAAGACAGCATATAATTTCAATGTATCTTTAATATTGATTCCCTTTTTTATTATATTGAATTTTTTAAATAAAAAATAAGCAAAGTTATTTGCAAGCGAGAATTTGAAATAATTTTATTGCAAACTCAAAGTTTATTGATAAAGCCATTTAATATCTAAAGGCAAGCTAAAGGCAGTTTAGTTTTATAAAGAACACTTTGCCTTTGGAACGTTTTGTGAATTGTTTGTGGTTGAATTTTACCTTAAATTGAATCTTGTATTACGTATAATTACATACCTAACATATATATGTTGGGAAATTGATAATTTTGTAATTTAATAAAAGTGATATTTTTAGGCGATTTTCATTTGTAAGAATGTTCTTAAAAAATTATCTTGTTACCATGACAACTACTTTAGGTACTTCATGTTCGGAAAATACAATGGTTTTGTCAGCAAGGCGAGGGTTTCTGCATGCATGTATTTTCTAGTTTATGTCATATCTGGAACTTTGACAGTAAAAAAGTTGATCAAGATGAGGTTTTTTTACTATAACGATACATTACATTTCTTCTCAGAATGACCCAAATATTACACATACCAAAAATTATATTTGGGGTGTAGGAAGCCATTGGCCTTTTTCCCAATCTTTGTATACACATTGAACGTGCTGGTCCAACACAGTGACGGTGTAACTTTACACTTTGGGTATATTTACACTTGCAAGGTGTTAGTTTAATTAATCTACTGTGGTGTACATTTACACCTTCACAGTGTTAAATAACAAGATGTTTACGTTTACACCGAGACGGGGTTGGCGTAACCCAACCTTGGTGTAAAGATACACTCGCGTATTATTAATTTACACTTCCCAAGTGTAAATTTTTAATTTACACCAACTTGGTGTAACTTTACACGTTTTAGGTGTTCACTGAACACTGCGAAATTTAGAGTGTAGTCGCGCACTAATATTCCGGATGTTCGCTTGGGAAGAATTGTATTAATTTAAGTTATTTTTATAGTACGCCTAGGTACGTCTCAAACGGATCAACTATAGCAGCTCATGGTGATGAAGTTAGTTTGGCTTTATCCACTGAAGATAAATATGACGACGACGGTTCTTTTGTTGGAGAATACTCGGATATGACTTCGACAAAGAAATACGAGGAAATTTTCGTCTGATATTTTTCATCATGCATCATGAATCAGTGCGGAGTTCAACACAAATGACCTCAGGTGAAATAGCGGATGGCCAGAAATTTATGCTACTATAGCTAGGATGTAGAAAATTAGCAAATGCATGCTATAATCATTGATATGTACGTATCAATGGCAATGATGATCTTATACGATGTACTGGACTCTAAACCGCCTGGTTTTCTGGTAACCGCCTGGTCATGTACCTTCCAAGCTAGTAATAGTATATGATAGTAACATAAGTTCCAGTAGTATTTTGTGGTCTTGATAGTTTGCTTAATAATAAAAATAAGCAAGTTTCAATGCAAATGAACATTTCAGAAAAAACGGAATGGAGTTTCTTACAGAAGGCGGTTCGTGCATGAAGGCGGTTGTTGTTCGCTGTTTTATACGTCGAATTTCGGTCGCGTCGAATGCAATTCAAACAATAGATAGAAGCTTAATGAGGTTTATCATCTCAATAGAAGCTTAATGAGGTTTATCATCTCATTATCTATTGTCTTAATTGCATTCGACGCGACCAAAATTCGACGTATAAAACGGGCCTGAAACTCGAGTTGTTTGTGTGTTTAAATTAATGTATGATGTAAACCGTACGTGTAGATTTTGGGCAATGCCTGTATACAGCCAATTCAAAAAAGGTCGTCCTTTGCAAACCTTAAACTCTAAACCTTAAACTCCAAGCGCGCAAAGCTTAATGGGAGCACAAGTTTCAAGCTTAGTAGTTGAATATTACAGCTATTTGTGAACGAATTGTTCTCGTAAGAAGATATTTACCATGTCTCTAAGAAATGGGCCCCACATATGATTTCCAAACTGATTAAATGTGCTCCCATCATGCTTTGCACGCTTAGAATTTAAGGTTTAAAGTTTGCAAAGAACAACCTTTTCTGAATTAGTGTACATGTATAAACCTTTAAACTAACATATTTTAAAGATCATTTGCCCATGGGCATGGCAATGCAGCATATTTTTAACGATTCAATAATTAACAATTATTGAATGAGGTTGAGCACAATATGGAGAATTATCAAGCCCGAAGTTTGCCGTTATCAACCGAAGCCGAAGGCTGAGGTTGATAACGGCAAACTGAGGGCTTGGTAATTCTTCATATTGTGCGAAAACCGAATTCAATAATTGTTTTATTTATTTAAAAAATTCAAAACAAACGGTCATCTATTTGTTCGCCCACGTCACGTTATAAACCAGGAAAAGAATTAAGAAACTGAGTGTTCTTACCTATTCTAGAAGCCTTTGTTGATCTTTTTGTATTTCCAGTAATTTTTGAATTTCGGCTTCGCCAAGGTTTGCAAACCTTTCAGTGGAAGAAGCCATTTGTATTTTATTTGTATTAAGACTGAAAAAACAATTCCTTAGTCCTTCGGCAGCCGTCGTCGTCATAGCAATGGCGTCAGCGAGTCAATATGATTCTCGTTGTCATAGTAATATGGCGCAAACGCGTCCAATTTTTTTTCATATTGACTCTTTGACGTCATTTTGCTATTATGAATGTGAAAAATCCGTATTTGGTTAGCCATTGAGTTGATATGACAATTTCACAGTTGGCTGTTGGCCAATCAGAAACCAGGAATTTTTTAAATAAATAATAACAACAATTGGCAACATAAGCTCTTCGACTAACCTCGAAAATTCTTTACACTTCGTCGGAATAAAATCACTCCTGGCACGACTGATACTTTTCTGAGTTCGGACGATGTAGGGGAACTTGAAAAACAAGATTTTTTAGATTTAGTATTTTAGACACGAACATATATACTATTATACAGATGTAACATATAATTTGTAGTATTTTGTAATTTATTACTATATTATAATATATAATATATAATTTAAATTAATGAATGTGAAGAGAAAAGAATCTTTAATTAGTATTGTGTGATACATTTCTTGTGTGACCACATACTGCAGTGAGCAGTGAGCTCTAATATATCTGATAAGGCACCTATACTCTTTTCTGCAACTATAATCTTACCCCAATGTAATCCATTTCACACAGAATTCTTACTGCAGTTCTTCACTGGCAGCAACCTTCGTGTTTCATAGCTCTGCGGTCGATCTTGAAGCGATCGAAGTTTGGGAGATCATGGCTTTAGCACTGGTTTTAGTGTTGGCAGTATGAACTTCTGGCCGGCTTTCGAGTTCACCGTTGTTTTGAATCTTGTTGCGAAGGCTGTACCGCGTGACGAACATGTGTAGCCATATGGGTTGAAGTCATCACGAAGGATGATAAATATGAATCTGATGACCAATGATGTTTGAACTTTGAATGGTATACCATGTCCACGAGTACAAAGTTATAATAATATGCATTACATTATTACAATCAGTGACCGCGCAGCGATTTTAGTTCGCTCCACAATAATTCACATTAAAAATCATCATTCAAAAGGCTGAACTCCGAATACAACTGGTTTGCCAAAATGCATGGTCATTGACCAAAATATTTATTTATTTATCTATCACATATACTTGTGATAAATATGGGATAACAGGGTGGCGTTCGTACGCTACCCTGGTTTGAAGCAAATGAATGCAAAGCCTGCTCGAATTGAGTTTCGACATCCCGCTCTGGTGTCGAGGGATGTATATTACAGTAACTGTCAACTGTGTATTACAGTAATTGTATTTCGGTACACTTATAGAGCAACATTGGGTGTATTTCAGTATACTTGTACTTGAGCGTATTTTTAGGCGTGAAATTCTGCACACAATTTTTGAAGATATGTGTTGGCGCAGTAACAGCCAATTCAAAAAAGTTGTCCTTTGCATGAGAAATTCTAAACCTTAAGTGGCAGTCCCGCTAAGAGCGGTCCGATGACTTTGACTTCGGAAAATAGATTTCCTTTATTTTTTGTGTGTTGAAAGGCATTGGTATACAAGTGTCCAAAATAAATTTATTTTTTGAAAATTCTTTTTTATGGCTTCGCTAGACGCCAAAACTCATTTTACCCGTGCAGAGCTAATTTCAAGCAAAATCGAAGGTTGAATTTCGGTAAATTGTAGAGCCGCGCTGTGTCAAAACGCCTGACTATTTCCAAATTTCAACAAGATCAACAAGTTATGATACAATTCAGGTTCCCTGTTCCAAAAAATAAGAGCATTTGAATAAATTGTGAATAAACGACAGCAACTTGACGGCACACCGGTTTTTGCTTCTTGTTCGGTCTACAAAATTACACTAAAATCGAAGCCTGAGATCTCCAAATGGGGACCTAAAATTACGCTGAAATGTGCTTGGCTGTAATGATTTATACTTATTTTCAGAAGATCTGAAGAAAAACCTGCGGGTATCAATCTGTATTTGGCGCGAGTTAAGATTTTCTGGAGCCCATAATCAATGATTTTGCATAATTTATAGCTAATTAACATATTTCTTGAGAGGCGCTAAAAGTAAACAATTTCTTTCTGACTAACATATCTCAGATGAAAGAGACTACCACAGCTAGTAATACCCTTTTTGTAAATATAGTCGTAATGTTCTTTTCCTGACACGCTGAGAGAGCTTTGTTTTTGAATGTTATGCCACATTTATTCAGTCTGACCAGATTCATAAATGTCACGAACTTGTATATTTCAAAAATATACCAGAAATCAGAATTCAGAAAGACCGATTATTCTTTCATTGATTCAGTTGATTGATTTAAAAAACTATACGTATAATAGAACATTCCACGTGTTTCCATTGCCCCTATATAGGCCTAGAATTGTTATCAATATGTTCTATTTTTCTGTGGCGACGGCATATTAACAAAATACGACACAAAAATGTACATTCGAATTTATGACCGACATATCAGAATGTTATTTATGAAGTTTGAATTGAATTTACTTAACGCGAAATAAATACTAAAATAGGAATTTTCTATGCTGGGTTTATAGTAAAAGAAAAAGCATAATTTTACTTGTATGTAATTTCGATGAATACTATAAAAAAAATTATACGCATTGTTTATATAAATTAGCTAACATTTTTAACAAAAATATCAATTTTATAAATAATCGAATTTCAATATTTTTCTTTGAAAAAAAGTATATTCGTGAGCTCCATAGCTGAGAATAAATTTCAAAAGTTTGTGAATTAAAATTCACCAGACACAAGTTTGATATTTTTGTTAAATAACTGATCAGAATGCTTATAGTTTATTTTGTTACATGGCTAAAACAAACGTCGCTACTATCGTAATAAATGTGTAAATGTTAGCTAATTTATACAAACAATGCGTATAATTTTTTTTATATAGTATTCATCGAAATTACATACAATTAAAGTAATGCTTTTTCTTTTACTAACCCAGCATAGAAAATTCCTATTTTAGTATTTATTTCGCGTTAAGTAAATTCAATTCAAACTTCATAAATAACATTCTGATATGTCGGTCATAAATTCGAATGTACATTTTTGTGTCGTATTTTGTTAATATGCCGTCGCCACAGAAAAATAGAACATATTGATAAAAATTCCAGGCCTATATAGGGACAATGGAAACACATGGAATGTTCTATTATACTTATAGTTTTTTAAATCAATCAACTAAATCAATCAACTGAATCAAGGAAAGAATAATCGGTCTTTCTGAATTCTGATTTCTGGTACTGATATTTTTGAAATATACAAGTTCGCGACATTTATGAATCTGGTCAGACTGAATAAAGGTGGCATAACATTCAAAAACAAAGCTCTCTCAGCGTGTCAGGAAGAGAACATTACGACTATATTTACAAAAAGGGTATTACTAGCTGTGGTAGTCTCTTTCATCTGAAATATGTTAGTCAGAAAGAAATTGTTTAATTTTAGCGCCTCTCAAGAAATATGTTAATTAATAGCTATAAATTATGCAAAAATCATTGATTATGGGCTCCAGAAAATCTTAACTCGCGCCAAATACAGATTGATACCCGCAGGTTTTTCTTCAGATCTTCTGAAAATAAGTATAAATCATTACAGCAAAGCACATTTCAGCGTAATTTTAGGTCCCCATTTGGAGATCTCAGGCTTCGATTTTAGTGTAATTTTGTAGACCGAACAAGAAGCAAAAACCGGTGTGCCGTCAAGTTGCTGTCGTTTATTCACAATTTATTCAAATGCTCTTATTTTTTGGAACAGGGAACCTGAATTGTATCATAACTTGTTGATCTTGTTGAAATTTGGAAATAGTCAGGCGTTTTGACACAGCGCGGCTCTACAATTTACCGAAATTCAACCTTCGATTTTGCTTGTAATTAGCTCTGCACGGGTAAAATGAGTTTCGGCGTCTAGCGAAGCCATAAAAAAGAATTTTCAAAAAAAAAAATTATTTTGGACACTTGTATACCAATGCCTTTCAACACACAAAAAATAAAGGAAATCTATTTTCCGAAGTCAAAGTCATCGGACGCTCTTAGCGGGACTGCCACTTAAACTCTAAGCGCACAAAGCTTAATATGGGAGTACAAAGCTTAATGGGAGTATAATTGTGAATGAATTGTTCTCGTACGGAGATATTTACCATGTCTCTAAGAAATGGGCCTCATATATTATTTCTAAACTGATTAAATCATGCTCCATTATGCTTTGCATGCGCTTCGAGTTTAAGGTTTAGAGTTTAAGGTTTAGAGTTTAAGGTTTAGAGTTCAAGGTTTTTCAAAGGACAACCTTTTCTGAATTGGCTGTAAACAACAAACATAAAACATATAATCAACGACTATTATATGGAAGGAAATAATTTATTTAATAAAATAGAGGGAATACATTTATATTAATAAAACATGTTTAACCTAAAAAACTATAACTTTTGTTCATCTTACTTACGCCACATCGCGAATACTGTAATATTGTTTCCAGGATTCGTACACAATGTTGAAATACACCTTCATCATTTATCACAGTTATCATGCATCAATAACTTTACACAACCAAAAGGGGCCTTAAGACAAATTTAGGACTCGATATTTTAAATGCTAGCAATAAAGATTTAAAGGGTTTAACACAGCCAATTCCTGATGGAAATAGATAAAATTTAACATGAACAGTACCTATATACAAGAACAGCATGCACATGTGTTTTCAGAGATCATAATACCCTGGGGCCGGTTGTTCAAAAGCTGAACTAACGCTAACTCTCGGTCAAAATTTAATCTGCTGTTTTAGTTTCCATATTTCTGCACGTCTGTTTATTTCAAAACTTCAGACAAGAAAACCCCTACTGATTCAGACAAGATCTCTACACAACTATTTCCAAATTTGTATAAACAAGCTGTTGGAAAGTTTGCTTTGAATTTTAGGTTAAAAGCTAACCCAGCTTTGAACAACTGCCCCGGTACATTTGGGGTATACGTTTACCAGAAATCTCGGTAAAAACTTCTGGTGAAATGGACCTTTAACCTTATAACTAAAATTTTGATCTAGACAAAAATTTCATCACAGCTTGAAAGAGCATCACAAAATTAGTAATATTCTAAAGTTTCGTTACGAAATGTTGTAAAATGCGGATAACATAGCCCTGCGAAGTTTGCAATTTTCAGCCATTTTGCATTACAAACGGGAAATTGATACCCAAATCGGGTGTTTGGGTATCAATTTCCCGTTTGTAATCTAAAATGACTGAAAATTGCAAACTTCGCAAGGCTATATTTTCCGCATTTTACAACATTTCGCAACGAAACTTCGGAATATTACTAATTTTGTGATGCTCTTTCAAGCTGTGATGAAATTTTTGTCTAGACTTGTCTAGATCAAAATTTTAGTTATAAGGTTAAAGGTCTATTGGAGAGTGAATCAAGACAAGAACATTATAATTCAAAGTGTACGAATCCCGGATAGTCGAACTTCTTCCCGATAATCTTTCCTTCATCAAACGTTCTCAGCCTGGCTGCAACACATTCGAAAAAATCAACTCAAATGCGGACTAAAGGTTATGTGCACAACGTGTCGTTTTCACCTCCACCGTTTTCATTAGCGTCTTATAATTTGCATATTATCTTCAAGAAGTTACGGACAATACATAACGATGATGAGAACGAAACCGAGCATCATGCGCATAGTTTAAAACTGCTCATTTGTTAAAACATCCTATAGGACGGTTGTCCCTGTTATACTTTATCTTTATAAGTCTGTTTCGTTTTCTCTAGCGTGTAAAATCAAACTTCAGGATCTTCTTTCCTGAGAATAAAAAAAAAAAATTCACATCGCAAAAAGTATTTGGGCTCGTGGGAAAAAATATGCATGCTTGGTGCAATATTTCGCAAAAAATATTTGGGCTCGTGGGAAAAATATGCATGCTTGGTGCAATATTTTCGTGCAATATTTTTCTTCTACCCAACTGTTTGTATAAAACATTTAAGTGAAAATCAATCCAATATGTATAGCTACAATACTAGCATTGTGAAGGAAATAGCTAAAACTGAAAGGATATACTTTAAATAACCAAATCATCATTTCATTTTTGTGCCATTTTTATAGTGGTTTTTAAAAACTATCTTCTGGAATCAAAAATTTACTTTTCAAAATGATTTTAATGGTAAAGATACTAGACTAGCGGACCCCAAACTATCCATGCTAGCATAAAGTTTTCACAGATGTTGCGGAATTTGTAGTTTAGCTAACATTTTCGAACAGTGCACTTTTTTACACACCCTGTATAGTAAAAAATTGAAATGAAAAATATTAAAATGTACGAGAAATGCCTAGGATTACAGGACCTACAGCACCGCAACAATAAAACCTTTATAAACAACATTTATGGTACGCAAGCGATGATTGATGGAGAAGCATGTTTCTATAGCTGTATGGAAACGAGCCCGCGGATTATTTTTCGTTCTCCCAAGCTCCCACGCGCGTGTTTCTATTTAACTATTAGTCACGGAAGGCGAGGTGATTCACTGTATAGTATATTCACTGAGCTGCGAAGCAGCGAAGTGAATATAGTCTTGTGGTCACCGAACCCGAGGTGACTACTTGTTTTAGTACATAAATTCAGTATTGAAACAAAATAATATATACAAACGTTGTCAATATAATTTACTTCACTCTTCCGCTTTTGAGTCGAATCCAGCTGTCGGAACCTTGTCGCCCGATTCTGTTATTTCCCAGTTTTAAATTGCCAAATAAATTGTTTTAGGCATCTAAAAGGTGCTTTTGTCTTCCGGAAATAATGCTTGCTAATGTTGCTTCTTTTGCTTTTAGAGGAATAGTATGTGCTTTAATTTCTTCAATTTTTTCTTCGATGATTTGTTTGCAAGTGGATTTTCGGCAGCCATTTTGTTTTGAAAGCAACAGTTACTGCTCAGAACAGTAACTATTGCCTCAGAGGCACTGCTGACGAGCCAATCAGAACGCTTGAAAGCCATTTTTCAATACTGAATTTACACTAGAACTGTATATAGAAACACAGAATCTATTTCTTAATTGTAAACTAGCAAAATGAGACTGTACAGTACGAACCTATGCAGTGAAATGACTGAACATCTTTTGTGATTAGCTTGCTTAAACAAATCAGTGTTTTAAGAACTTAAATCAGTGTTTGTTGTAAACGCTAAACTTGTTTGTTATAAACGTTTCATGAAGTGAAATACTTTACTTGTACATGCAGCGAAACAATTCTCTGTACATCCTTACCCATCCTCGTCTCGTTCTTTCAATTTAGTTCCTTCTTCTGGCGAGCCATCCACATTATCTAAATGAAATATTCAAGAGAAGTTAAAAACATGTTAAAACCTACCAGTTAAAAATCTCAGACAAACAAATTTTGGCGGAACAATTTATTAAATAAAATTTTATTGCACTTTTACCCGTTCCATAGCACGCGATTAAGAAAACAAGGTAGGGTTAAAAGAATCTACCGAAACCATTCTACTGCAGTTCGAGGATCAACTGCACGTTGTTTTTCTTGAGTGTCAATGCTGTTTTTGAATAGCTGGAAGGTGAGTAGTCACATAGTAAGGTACGACACTAAATCTCCAGTTATTCAAAAATAGCATTGACACTCAAGAGAAGCTCAGATTGAACCTCCACTCATTGAGTGTGAGTGAGCTTTTAGAAATACGGGCGTTAGTGACTATGATCTGCTTGTAGCACGTGTTAGGCACGTAAACCGTTTTCTTTGCGCAAGTGACTAGAATTAGCAAAGGTTAAGCCATGTGACCACGTTTTGTCTGCCATTTTGGGTGGGAAATAGGCGGCAACAAGCGAAGGAGTGGATTTAGTGAAGTATAAATACAGTATCAATGTTTATAATTACTATTTACTACACAAAATTTCTCCAGGTTTCATACAGGATCACTCCGGATCAGGGGGTTTCCTATTTTGCTGAACCTTGTATGGCGTGCCTGTAGCCTGCATCTAGGCGCTGGAACTCACCGACATCAGAGAACCTATGCATCCAGGGTAGAACAAGTTAGGAAGAGTAAAATCCAAGGACTTTCAAGGGCATAGATAATATTTTATGGACTAAAATTTAATGAATTCCAAACAAATGTGTACGATATGAACAACAATACATTAAACAAAATGTTCGTTTTTTAACGTTAAATAAATTTCAGAAAATCTCCAAAAACTAAAGCCAGGAAAATTCAACGATCTTTCAATCATCCTCTTTTGCATGGCGTGTGAAAGGCCAATTAACATCGTGGTGCATACCCACCCCAATGATCATAGCGGGGGTGCCCAAATTAGATACAGGTAATGAAAATTTCCGCAAAAACAAAGAGGCTTAGCTTACATTTTTCACGTTTCTTGCCAGCACAAGCAGCAGCACACATGTGTGTAACACCACATTGATTGAAGAAACAACAGAATATATCCACTGCTATAAGTACAAGCAGGATGATGACAATCACGATAGCGGCAATGGCTCCACCACTTAGTCCTTTTTTTCGCGCTACTTTTCCCGGTGGAGATGGAGGTGGACCTGCAAGGAAAAGAGTTTCTCAATATACCTCTACAACATGGTTGCTAAATGGCACAACTTGAGCTTATAGAAAACAGACTGAAATGAAGCAAACAGTAAATCCTGTTCTTCGTTTGCGCATCGGATCACTGAGTTGGCACTCACCATCTTGGTTGAATGTAAAGCTAGTTTAACCGTTAGAGTCAGAAGGTACATGCGTAAAAATCTCACATCTTATAGTAAGTCTGCCAACAAACCGTCAACGTGTTGTGTTCGCACTGCTTGTTCCAAGTTGTCAACAAGTTTGGAACAAGTTGTTAACAATGTGTAACAACCTTGGTGATCATGTTTCGCTCGCTACTCTGGTTTAAATAAATGATTACAAAGCCCAGTCGAATTGTAATCAAGACCCAACGTTTCGACACTCCAGTCTAGTGTCTTCATCAGGGGTGATCTAAAACTGCGATCGTGGCTTCTTAAATACCCAAGGGATTACGTCACCTGCCAAGAAGATGCATATATTCTTCTGGCAAATAGGCGCCGTCATCCCTATTCAAAGCATGATGACTCATATTTATATGCCACGCTTCTAGGCAAAGTCTTTGACCATAGCGATCGTTTGTGGTAATTACTTTAGAGTTTTCCCACGCAATCTAGTGTTTGGTGTAACATACATGTTCGGCTAAAGCTGATTTTCCCTTGTCTAAAGTTGAAACAGCCTTTTGATGTTCTTTTAGCCGTGTACCAAACTGGCGTTTAGACTGACCCAAATACTATTTATCGCAGTCACCGCATGGTATAGAATACATAGCATGAGTCTTCTGATTTTTTTCAACAGGATCTTTTGGCTTTGCGAAAATATGGCCTAAGGTCAAATAGGGTTTTAAGGCAACCTTAATATTACAATTACTTAAGATTCTCTTGATTGGTTCTGTGACACCTTGAATGTATGGAACTATTGCAAAACCCTTAACAGAGGTATCACCCTCGGAGTTATTTTGGTTCCTACAAACAGGTGGTCTCAGGCAATCATTAAGAAAACGCTTTGGGTAATTGTTTTCCCCTAAAACATTTAGAACATATTCACGTTCATTAGCTTGAGAATCACTGTTTGACGGCAACGATTCAGCTCTTTGAAGCAAAGTTTTTGCTACGGATCTTTTATGGCTTACTGGGTGATGAGAGTCGTATGACAAGTATTTGTCTGTGTGTGTGGGTTTGCGATAAACATCAATCTCTAACTTCCCTTCGACAGTTCTGTGTACATTCAAATCTAAAAAAGCTAAATGTCCATTTATTTCACGTTCTACCGTGAATTGGATGGACGGCTCAATAGAATTTAAATGTTGCAGCAGAATATCGATCTCATTTGTAGAAACCGCAGAGATGACATCATCGACGAAGAGTATTTGGGTCAGTCTAAACGCCAGTTTGGTACACGGCTAAAAGAACATCAAAAGGCTGTTTCAACTTTAGACAAGGGAAAATCAGCTTTAGCCGAACATGTATGTTACACCAAACACGAGATTGCGTGGGAAAACTCTAAAGTAATTACCACAAACAATCGCTATGGTCAAAGACTTTGCCTAGAAGCGTGGCATATAAATATGAGTCATCATGCTTTGAATAGGGATGACGGCGCCTATTTGCCAGAAGAATATATGCATCTTCTTGGCAGGTGACGTCATCCCTTGGGTATTTAAGAAGCCACGATCGCAGTTTTAGATCACCCCTGATGAAGACACTAGACTGGAGTGTCGAAACGTTGGGTCTTGATTACAATTCGACTGGGCTTTGTAATCATTTATTTAAACCAGAGTAGCGAGCGAAACATGATTGATATACCTGGTTGCAGTGAACGAACAAACTTTATAACCTTGTTGATATTATCATACTTGTTACAAGGTTGTTCCAACAAGTCCGATGCAGTCATGAAAAAACAGTATTGTTACATCCTTGTGTCGTCAACCTTGTAACATTCTTGTTATATCAATGGCCGTATCAGTCTTGTTAGAACAACATTGTGACAAGTCTGATAATGCCATCAAGCTTGTTACAAATTGTTGACAGTTTGTTCCAAACTTGTTACAACAACTGGGTACAAGCAGTGCGAACACAGCTTGTCGACAGCTTATGAACAGCTTTGTAACAACTTGTTTGCAGACCTGTAACAGCTTGTGCGTTTTTACGTGTGTAGTTGAGTTAAATCTATTTTATTATATCCAAAGTGTCAAAGTTCATGTTTTCTTGCCTCTCAGTGGACGAGAGCGTATCACGTGAAAGTCACCTGGCAAAGTGAACATTACTTTTATTCACTGATGAATAATAAAATTATGAAAGTTTCCCATTTCTTTTTGTTTTCTTTGAAAATAATAAAATACTTATTGACTGGGACTTTCGGGAAACAGCTACCTCCTCCGCAGGCCTTTCAAAAATATAGGGCGGCGAAAATTAGTGGGAAACTTACAGCTACACAAGCCTTCGTCTCACATTTCAAATTTTAACCTGCGAACGGGCATACCTATTACGGGCTGTATGGCTCGCGAAGAAGGTAGGGGAAACAGTGTGTTTCCCTCGGACCTGGTCAGTAAGTGCTAAATATTTCCTAGTTTCTTTAAACACAGCTTACAGTATTACGACCAGTTTTATGGTCTCTCGCACGCTATGGGAATGAGGAATATATTGAAAATCAACTAAGATGGCGTTTATTGCGAACCACTGATGCTACTAAGGTAAGGTTGGTTATTAAAGTTCTTATCAAGTACATGTAATACCTAGCCACATATTCCATACAAGATATTACACTTACTTTGCCCAGTTCCTTTAGGTTTTTCGTCTGTCTTTGGAGCTATTGGAGCTATTGTACGGAGTAACGTTTGCTTTGTTAGAAACATACTTATCGAAGTTCAAGTGGCAGTCAAGTCCGTTCTGCTCACGCGCGTGTTTTGTTTACAAATTTTGTTTCAAACAATACAAAATTCAATTAAAATTCCGATCTGTGGGCCCCACACTTTAGCTCATTGCGATAAAATTTGAGAGAAAATTTAGCTGCTAAAGAGGGAATTTAGCTCCAAAACAACAAATTTCACTCGAAAATCAAAAAGCAGAAATGTTGCCATTCCGAAAGTATTCAATCTACTGCTGTGAAATTTTGCATTAGCATAGACTGGGATCTTAGCTATTTGCCTTGCTTTTTTGGTGGGCGTACCGCAAAATCTCGCTGAGAAATCAAAGCTTACTTTTACCTCCGCGCGCGCGCGAGAGAGAAATTTTTACAATATTTAGACCGTTCCAAAATTTGTCCAAATATCAAGCAATCTCGACGGTTGAGCCAAGTAAATGACGATATGCCTTAAGACCACAGGTGGTGCACTTTACTCTACTATTCAAGGTGTTATCGTGCTTATAAGATACGCAATATATAACATACATGCTTTCTTTCTGGTAAATATAGAATCTGTATAAAGGGAAAGATCTGGTCTACGTTTCTCAAATATCTAGCGAAAATGGACCTCATTCTAATTTTAACTATTTGTTGAACAGAAACAAAATAGATGTTTGTGTAGATTTTAAGATTACATCAATATGTTTCAAAGCATAAACAAACCACGCCCATACCTATAAATGCGCAAAACGGACTTGACTGCCGCTTTAATTATTATATTTATCGAGCATTTGTTTTCATATTAAGCATTTCTGATGAGCTTATTAATTCAAATTTACCGTCAACCTCTAAATACAAAGGATAGTTTGTGAAATCTATGTAGTTTCCAGTAAATGTCAAGGAATTGGCGAAAATAATAGATAGGGTGCTTTCTCCTATTTATTCCCAAGGGGCACCGACCTTTTACCGAATGTATACCGCAGTGCAATTACTGTAAGCTACTTTATGCAATCTATCAGGGTTCATTTGTTTCTTTTTGCATGTTACAAGATCTGAAACAAAGCTATGTCATAGTAGCATCGAGTACCCGTGGTTTCAACCTCCTTTCCCCCAACAAAAAAAGAAAGATCACGAATGGATCAAGCCAGATGTGGTAAGTGAGGGGGTGGGGTGTGCGACCCAAGGTCGTGACTCGGGGTGCGATCGTTAACCAAGTTCATCATCATTTCGAGCTACGCACAGCAGGGTTCTGTATAATGAACGAAACATTACACTGGAAGGGTTCTGGGGTATTGTGGTAATGGTGATGGAGTATTGCCTTATTTTCAAATTGAAGAGATGGATTTGATAATGAAATTGGCATCCCTTTGGCCTTCAAAAAATCCGTTGGTAAGCCTAATATCAAGCCACGTGTTTCATACAAGATATTAAACTTACGTGCTGTTTTTCTGGTAGGTGTAGGTGCAGGTGCAGGTGCTGTAGTAGCTGTAAATAATGGTCAAAAGTTTTAAGAATTAAACGTTGAACGGGATCAACATGGTGGACATATGGATCGGACCACATTACCAATACATCATTGCAGAATGTAAAATTAAAAGTGGAAAATAATTGCATTCTGTATACTGAATATACAGAGCAGTGAGTGTCACTTAGAGCTGAAGAAGTGCAAGTGGTATAGCGATAAATTTATCAATTTGACTAAAGCTCACAAGTCTCAACCTTCTCTAAAGTCATTGGGCAAATTTCAGATTCCCAATACTTGTATATAAAGTGTTGGGGGTTCAATATGTCATACTTACTCACGGATGGAACTGAAAACTCGCGTATTTCAGTATACACCATCTCTTTCCCTGCATCTTCATAAAACACTTGGAACTCGTACGTTTCTCCATCATCTAAACCAGGTATCTCGATGAAAATTTTCTCCGTTTCCTTTTCCTTCCAGTCATCAGAAGATCCTTTAATTCTGTACTTGATTATGTATTTGTCAACACTTTTTGCAGCTTGAGGCCAGTAAACTGTGACTGTATTCCCAGTTGCACTAACATCATTTATATTTTTCAATGGACCTGGCAAAGAAGAATGAATAAACATATTAGTGTACATAGCCATGCAGATAAACTCCGGTTAATGTTTAAATTCCACATGACTATTCAGTATCTACTGTCAAGCCGTCTTAACATTTAGATGGCCCGCCACTTCGAACACGTGGACGGCGGACGCCTTTCAGACGGCTTTTAAAAATCTGAGGATTGTCCACTTTAGTTTAAATTTTCGACTTTATTTTTGGACAAAATTATTGGACAAAATCCGTACACTTTATACTTGATGGTTTTAATTGGCAAAATAATACATTTACCCGATTATTGTGGGAATGCTTTGACCAGGACACGAAACAGAAAAAATATTCCATTCACCAATGAAGAAATGGATTAAATAAATGTCACTGTAATTGTTATGCCTACTCTAACTGTTAACAACTTCAAATGTGAAGTAAAATTTAACCCCTTGATATTAACAGTGTACTGCCGTACTGGTCGATATGACTATAAACTCTATAGCGAACGCCATTTCGTTTTGAAATGAAAGATATGTTCATGTATAATCTGCATATCTTTAGATTTGGCATTTTTAGCATTTCTCACGGCCGATTTTCCCGCCATTTTGCGAGGTACTGCCTCTCTCACGTTTGAGAGTCTCCGCACCACGAAATACAACTTTTTAGTATTGACAATTGTAGTTGTTTGTCCCAGAGCCGACGGCGCGAAGCGCCGTGCGAGGGTACTAATTCCTCCCGGCTATTTACACCCGGGGAAACGAAAGCATTAGCGAAGTCTAACGTTCATCAAATATCGCGGGCGTGGCTCACCAACGATGTTTCGTTGGGTGGTCATCCTCACTGATCTCAAAATATGTGGCGGACTGTCATGAATAGCGAAAACTCATTGGTCCAATTTAAAGTTTGCATTACTAACGACTGCATGACGACAGCGAAATAGCAAACATTTCTTGATTTGATGATTGATAAATTTCTTGCAAATATATTTCATTTCTGCTGGCATTTTTGCAAGATTTTGTAAATTTCAAGAAAGAAAGGGCGAAAGAATCGGCTAAAAGAAGTGAGCCAACGTTTAATAACGAAGGTAGGTTTGTTTTAAATATTGATTTTATATTGGCTTTAATTTAAATATTGATTTTATATTGCCTTTGCGTATATGAAACAACTAAACAAGACAGCATACAACTTCAGTGTATTTTTAGTAATATTGATTCCCTTTTTTATGATATTGAATTTTTTAAATAAAAAGAAAGCAGAGTTATTTGCAAGCGAGAATTTGAAATCATTTTATTGCAAACACAAAGTTTATCATCGATAAAGCCATTTTAGGTCATTTTAAAAGGCAGTTTAGTTTTATAAAGAACACTAGTGACTTTAAAACGTTTTGCGAAGCGTTTGTGGTTGAATTTTACCTTAAATTGAGGCTTATATTACATATAATAACATACCTAACACATATATGTTGGGAAATTAATAATTTTGTAATTAAAAGTGATATTTTTTAGGCGATTTTTCATTTGTAAGAATATTCTTAAAAAATTATCGTGTTACCATGACAACTACTTCAGACACTTCATGTTCGGAAAATACAATGGTTTTGTCAGCAAGGCGAGGGTTTCTGCATGCATGTATTTTCTAGTATAATGGTAAATTTACAGTCACAACTTTTAAAAGTCGCTTTTCACGTTGTTTGAATTGTCTGGAATCTTTCACGAGGGCAGACAGTAGCCCCAAAATGGCGGATTTTGGCCTTCGCGAGAAAGGCTAATTCAATCTCTTTTCGCCTGCATCTTTTGGCCATTTGCAATCCTGGCTCTAATCAATTAAGAAATCAAGTTTCTTAGCAACACAGGGGCAACGTCTTGACGACAATTAGAAATGATCTTCAATAATGCACAATCTGCCGAAAAATATGGGACATATATACTGTTAATTAATTTAACATTATCTCACTGGCCAAACGCTTCCCCGAGCCACTCGCTCAAAGTCGGTCTCATAAAAGACCAATTGATGTTCGTAAGGTGGGAGGCAGGGGAAAATGTATAAAAAATCAGGGTGTCCACCCTTCGGTGAAGGTGAAATTCAAGGACTTTTCCAGGACTTTCAAGACCCTTTTTCAGTAAATTCAAGGACCTACTGTAGAACTGGGAAAAATCTTTGAAAATAATTCACTTAATTCAGTAATTTTAATCAAATCACTAATGCTGGCACAGCTGGAGGTTAAGGAAATTAATTCCAGGACTTTCAAGGACTTCTACTGATTTTCAAGGTCTTCCCAGAACTGAAATTTTTTTTTCAATTCAAGTACTTTCCAGGATTTTCAAGGGCCGTGGACACCCTGAAAAAATGGTATAATACTGGATGAACGCACGTTAATTTGTCAAGAAAAGATGAATCTTAATACTGAACTGAAAATGGAAGTACAAGTAAGTAAGTAAGTAAGTAAGTAAGTAAGTAAGTAAGTAAGTAAGTAAGTAAGTAAGTAAGTAAGTAAGTAAGTAAGTAAGTAAGTAAGTAAGTAAGTAAGTAAGTAAGTAAGTAAGTAAGTAAGTAAGTAAGTAAGTAAGTAAGTAAGTAAGTAAGGCCCCGTTTACACTATACCGGATTGCATCGGAGCGTAGCGATTTTCATACCGGATTCGGCTGCTGTTTACAGGCAATTGATAAAACTAGAATAGTGAAGCGAATAGTGCGAATAGTGCGAATAGTCGACGAATAGTACGAATAGTCCGCGAATAGTCGACGAATAGTGCGAATAGTCGACGAATAGTGCGAATAGTCCGCGAATAGTCGACGAATAGTGCGAATAGTCCGCGAATAGTCGACGAATAGTACGAATAGTCCGCGAATAGTACGAATAGTCCACGAATAGGCGACGAATAGTACGAATAGTGCAATAGAGACTTTGCAAGGCTTTGCAGCAGTGCTGTAGAACTAAATTTACCGGGGGGGGGCTCTGTTGACAAACATGAAATCGTGAAAACATTCGTCGACGTACGTCAATGACGTCTAGTGATTGTCATCAGTGGCGCCGTGGCCGGGGGGGGGAATGGCCCTCCCCTATTGTTGACACCCGTCGTAAAATTGCCAATGCTGCCGGAAATTGTCGGAAAATTGTCAAGGCTGTCGGAAATTGTCAAAGTTGTCGACGGGGGGTGAAGATTTAAAATGTTGTCGTCCGGAAAACTTTTTGATTTGTCGGAAAAATTTTTCGGTTTGTCGGAAAATTACTGCCCTTGCGCCCCCCAAAAAAAACATGGGTCCCACGGCGCCACTGATTGTCATTCTACTTCCTGTTAAATATTTGTTAAAACTCAGTGGTTCAGTGGTCCCGTAATTTTTACCGATTACGTAT